ACAGGCCGGCAGCGCTCCAGGAGCTACGGTCAGAACCTGGACAGGAGTCCCAGCAGCCGGCTGGGCTCTCTGGAGCGCATGGTGAGCTGTCCCGTTAAGTTGAGTGAAAGTCCACCAATACCAATCCAGAGTTCTCTCCCAAAGCGAGTGACATCTTTTGCTGAGCTGGCCAAAAGCAGGAAAAAGAATGGTTCTTCCCCACCCCTCCGGCCCAGTGGTGATTCCTCCTTGGAGTTCAAGAAGAAAGCAATGCAGAGTGCAGCGAAGTGGAGACAAAGGGAGAGACCACACAGAATATGATTGAGGGTCAGGTCTACGTAAATGTATCACCACCGAACCTCAATACAGGCCGGCAGCGCTCCAGGAGCTACGATCAGAACCTGGACAGGAGTCCCAGCAGCCGGCTGGGCTCTCTGGAGCGCATGGTGAGCTGTCCCGTTAAGTTGAGTGAAAGTCCACCAATACCAATCCAGAGTTCTCTCCCAAAGCGAGTGACATCTTTTGCTGAGCTGGCCAAAAGCAGGAAAAAGAATGGTTCTTCCCCACCCCTCCGGCCCAGTGGTGATTCCTCCTTGGAGTTCTCTCCTATTCCTGAGACACAGCGGGATTGTCCAACCTTCCTCGAAGAAAGAGCTCACCGCAGCCAGAGTCTTCCACCCATGCCCTTCGTCCATGGCCTGAACCGGAGCTGTGAGGGCTTCTGCTTGGATCACGCCTTTGGAGATGGCCAGGCTTTGTGTTCCACCAAAGACTTGGGCTCCAGTGAGACCATCCCTGGTGGGCACGGGGCAGGTGAGCAAACCTCTCTCTCCCTGCTCACGGAGGCCAATGCTGGCTGCTCAGGTAGCTCTGCCAGTGTCCAAGGACAAAGAGATGTTAGAGTCCGAGCAGATGGTGAGGAGCCAAAATAGACAGAATGGAAACATTAAAAAAAAAAAAATAGAAAAGGCCCCTCTGGGACATGAGGAGAGCAACAGAGGAACCTGCATGGCAGTGGGAGTCCATAGCCTACCAGTCTCTGGGGTAAAGCCCTGCTGTGCTTTTTGCAGGCCCAGATCAATGGAAGTGTTTTGCCCCTGTATTTCTAGAGCCTTTTGAGTTCCTGTGTAGTCCTTCTGTACCATGTAAGGGAGGGCATGGCATTACCACTTAGAATCTGGGCAGCTTCTTGGATAATTGTCTTGTTCTAACTCTGTTTCCTGGAGCTTTTCTCCTCCTTTCCCATAAGAGACTGCCTTTGGCTCCCAAGATAGGGACTTGAGGGTGCTCAGCAGTCAGAGGCAGAGAAAGGAATAATTAGTTATTTTTTTAGCTCTTCTTATTTGGAGCCATATAAAGAGGCGGAGAAAGTGTAGCCAGCATCTGCTTCTCAATGCAGATTACATCCTGGACCTGGGCAGGGTCCAGGAAGCTCACACAGTGTCTGTCATGATCGACAGTATGAGCCAGGATGTCCCATTAGCCTGGAATTTCCTGGCTCTATCCTCAACAGTGCATGAGATTGCAGCAAGGATTCCTATGGAAAAATGCTTGCCCATCGCCAGGGTAATTGTTCCAGTTCCCTCTGCAGCAAAGCCCTTTACATGAATTGCTTTCCACACTGATATTGCTACGACATGTCCTGGGGAGGGAGCTCTGAGACAGCGCTATAGGTGGCTCAAGTATGGTCATTCCTATAGCATTAGCAGGAGATCAGTATCTCTGCCCCAGACAGTGCTTTTACCTGCACCCCAGGAAAGAGCCTATCTAAAATGAGCTGCTGAGCAGACTCTGACCAGACGGCTGTGTTAGAGAGCCCCTGATGTGCCAGAGCCCTGACTGTTTCTGTTTAATGACATGAACATTTCCAGCAAGAGATGGAAGGAACAATTCTTTCACTGCTAGGGCAGTGTTTTGCGGTGTGAGCGTGGGAGAGATTTTAGCCTTTGGAGCAAGAGTTGTGTTTTGACCTATTTGTTTACTGAGCCTTGAACTTGTGCTTGCTGCAGGACAGCTTGGAAAGTAGGTCTCTGCTGGGAGAAGGCAGCAGTGGGAGCAGCCCTGGGTTTGCAGAGGAATTGCTTGGAAGGAGTAAGAGCTGCGCAGAGTTGGAGAAGGGGGCAGACAGCAGCTCCCAAGGCAGCGTATCCCGGCACTTCCCACAGCTGTGGCCCTTGTGCAGTCCCTTCCTGTCACATGTAATAGGATGTGACTTGCACATCAGGGCTGTATAGAAAATCCCTGCCTGCAGCAGAGAGACACAGAGCTGTGAGCACCATGAAGCCTGGAACGTCTAGCCTGCAAGGAAAGACCACAGAGCTGCCCTGCGAAGTGCTAACTATAGGGAAGGGGATCTGGCACAGCCCACACAGCCCGCAGGTAGCACTAGAGCTCTGTTGGAGCCGATCCTCAGCTCCTCTGTGTCCCAGGGTTTATGCTGTAGGCCTGTCTTTTTTTCGGGCAGGTCCCTGCCCAAAGGCAGTTCTGGAGGAAGGGCAGAGGACACCTGCTGTGCCACACAGGGAAACTGTGTGGCTGTCGGCCAAGGACCCCAGCCAGTCCTGCATGTGCATCCAGTGCTCTGCGTGTGCGCAGTGCAGTGTTTGATGCTTCGGCTGTGTCCCCAGGGTTGCAATGGGCCCACCAGGAGCTGCAGGCATGTGCAGACAGCAGACAACCCAGCCCAGCCTCTGCGACATCTGTGTCTGTCATTTGCTAGAGCAGACTTGGCTTTTCCAGAGTTGACAAATCCTCTATTTCTGCGATGGGTCTGATTTGCCCTGGGGAATTCCCTTCCTGCCACCAGTGGTGCTTGGAACATCCTCCTTGGGTTCTGCTACAGTCAGAGGGAGGAAGGAAACTGTGTGCTCAGAAGGGGAACTGCTATAGAGGAAAGAGGAGTGAGGCAGAAGGGAAAGATCTGGCAGGGGAGCAGTGGGCCTTTCCAGCAGCACTGAGTGTGAGGTGGATGCTCTTACTTGAGGCGCTTCTGCTGGGTTGGGTGAGTCATCACCATGTGTGGGAGGGAACAGTCCTTTGGGATATTAAATACCACTGTGCTGAGTGCTGTGCCATGGTGTGTTGACCCTGTATGGAGGCAGGCCAAAGACGGGTGTGTGGGGCTGTGGCTTCTGGGCACAGAGCTGTGCTGAGGTTTTGTTGCCTGCGCTCCCACGGGAATTGGGGTGGAGACAAGGAAGGAGGAGTGCAGCGTGTGAAGCTGGTGACTCTGTAAGAAGAGAAGTCCCAGTGCAGCCACCTACTCTTCCAGGCAGCTGAACATGTCCTGTGTGGGTCCACCGTCTCTACCTTGCTAGTTCATGATCGTATGGCTGGTTCCAACATGAACCACTCTGCTTATTCCGCTGCTCCACCCTCGTGCTCCCACAGCACATTACATTTTGCTTGTGATCTGCTAGGCTCATGATGATGGTTCCTCTGCCCGCCCTCACACTTGGTCCCTTTTTGTCTCCCCGAAGGTGCTGGCACAGACAGCAAACCTGTGGTACGCTACAGCAAGGACCAGCGTCCCACGACTCTGCCCATCCAGCCCTTTGTTTTCCAGCACCATTTCAACAAGCCACCCAAGACACGTGCCCTGCACAGCCATTTTGCCTCGAGCCTTTCTCAGCTCTACAGTTTGGCTAGCAACCGGCCTTCCAGCCAACAGACCTCCAATTCCCAGGCCTCGGCCTCAGCCGCCTCGGCAGAGCCGTTGGGGGCGGCAGGAAGCCGAGCCCACAGCGCGCTCCTGACGCAGCGCTCAGCAGATGGGGCTAGGAAGTCGAGCCCACAGCGCGCTCCTGACGCAGCGCTCAGCAGATGGGGCTGCATCTCTTAGTGATGGCTGCATTAAGAAGCCCGCCCCTGAGACAACGCGGCCATCCCCCTTGGGGAGCTACTCTCCTGTGCGGTGCAACGTGCCTTTCTTCCAGAGCGTGGACTCCTCTTCCTCGCCCACTGCGGAGAGAGCTGGAGAGAGCCAGCCTCCCAGGAGCAGGTCCTGTCCCGTCTCTGCCAGCTTGCTTCCCACGAGGTCTTCCCCAGCTGCCAGTGCCAGGCAGTCTGCCAAAGCCACCAAAGGTGATGCCCTGAGGCAAAAGGAGAAGCCTAAGCCAGTTCCCAAGAAGGAGGTACCACTGGAGCCAAGTCTGCCACTCTCTGAGTACCGACTCCACAGCGGATCCCTCCTGCCCCTCTCAGCAGGTGGTGCACCCATGAGCAGAGGGGGAGGCCCTGCAGAGCCCCACTGGAGGAGTGGCAGCGACACCAGCAGCTCTAGTTCCCTGAGCAGCATGGGCATACGGCCCCTCAATGGTAGGTACCCATCCACCAGGACATGCTAGGCTGGGAGAGCTCCAGCACCCTGCCTGTTGTGCTTCCCTGTAGTTCCACCCTCCTATGTAGGCACAACCTAGGGTGAAGTTGCCTCTGGGGCTGCAGTGCTCTATAATCCTATCATCAGTCCGCTTGCAAAAGGAAGTCACATGCCAAGAGCATGACTTATGGAGCTGCCAATCCCACAGCTCCCTATGCCAGGTGCTTGCAGCCCAAAACTTGCTCCCTCTCTGCCCACAACTATGAGGCCACTCAACTGTGCCAAGCTGTGGCCTCCGCTTGTCTGTCGTGTATACATGTTAATGTCCTGAAATGCTGCTGGCTGTAACTAACTTGTCTCTTTCTCTGTCCTTTTTCTTCATCCTGTCTCCCTGTTTCCCCTCCCCGGTTCACGTCTTCCCGTGTGGTGCTCGCTGCCTGTGGTGTTCTAGCGAACCACCTATCCCCTCAGGCGCTGAAGTGGCGGGAGTACAGGCGGAGGAACCCCCTGGGCCTGGACCGTGTTTCAGGGCTGCCCGGCTTAGCAGGCAGTCTAGACAAGAGGCAGCAGGAGCCTCGGCTGAACCGGGGGAACCCCATCTTTGAGTTCCCTGGCGCTCTCAACACCAGCCAGTTCCACTCCAGGCTGAACGGTGGGCACTACCTCTTTGCTGGGGGTATCTGGGGATTGCTTTGGGATTCAGGTTTGACATCCCAGACCTCGTATTTTCTGTCTGCTCTGAGAAGGATGCTGCATCTGGTCACAGGGGTGCTGAGGAGTAGCAGAAGAGGGCAAAGTTTAGACCAGTGATGGGTGCAAGCTGTGTGGGGCATCCCTTTTCCGCAGACTGAAAGTAGTCCATCCTGGCTCTGGACCACATTGAAGATCATGGGGGAAACGAATGTCCTAAGAGCCAACTCAGACCTCAGCAAGTGGTCCTGGACTGTGTCCAACTTGTATCCCACTTTTCAGCCCTTGTCACTCAATCTGCCCCAACCCTGGCAGCATGCTGTGTGCTGAGCTTCAGCTCTCATGGGGTGGCTGGCAGTAGTGTGGGGTCCTTTCTTTCATGCTCTGTCATTAAGGTTTTCCCCATCCTCCAAAACTCTGCAGGAGGGGTCGTGAGGAGCAAAATGCTTTTGAGTGAACCTTTGTGAGTCCTCTGGGAAGAGCCATGGGGCCTGTCTGTGGAAGGGAGGGTGTTCTTGAAGTCAGCTCTATATCGTGAAGCAAGTTCCCCAAAATTGACAACTCACACTGCCAACCCCAGCAGTTTCTCCATCCCTCCTTCATCAGGAATCATTCAGATGGAAATCTAGTATATGGAAGTTCTCCAGCAGAAGTCTACCTTTGGAAATGGAGAGAGACGATCCCAAAGGATAGGCAAGAGGGCACATTGCTTACTGTCTGTGGCTGCCTGCATGTGACAAGTGGAGATACTCTTTGTGCTCTGCTTTTGACCCAGTTCCATCCCTGTTGAGACTGTCTGTACAGCTGTCCTGAGAGTCTGGTGCAGTGAGGTTTTCTTCAGCAGCAGCCAATGATTGTAAACCTTCCACAGCATCTCCCGGTGAGGCTGTCCCCTGCCAAACTGAGCCCAGATGTTGGGGCTGAACTGAAGCTTGTGTGAAAAAAAAAAAAACCTGGGGGGGTCTTTACAAGCCTGTAGCCTTGCAGAGGAGCCTCAGGCTGAGGCTGATTAATGTAAGGGCCCTTGCTGGCGCGGGTGCAGGCTGCCCCTGAGGAAAGTAACAGTATAGGAGAGCCTTTGGTGTAAGGGTTTAGGGCTGATCCTTCTCCTCCCTCTCTTGGCTCTGCAGGACAGTCTATGAGGCAACTCCAGCTTACCTACCCTGACTTCTTCCCAGACTACTTCTCGCTAGCAGAAAAGCCCCCTGCTGAGTTCTGCCTCTCGCCAGATGGCAACACAGAGTCAATCTCCATCGACTTGCTGCAGAAGAAGGGTGGGTCCATGCCTCTTGTTTGGGAGTGACGGAGTCTGGTGTGGCAGAGTAGTGCTCATCTCTGCCTTATCTCATCTCTGAACAGACATAATGGTTTCTTTTCTTGCCCTTCTTTGCTGTTGGTGTCATGCTGGATGTCCCCTTGTACTGACAGCTGTTTCCATGGCAAGCTCATGTGTTCTCTCCACCATACCACCAGTCATGGAATACATTTGAGGTGCTTGTCCCAGGAAGTATGGTGAGAAGGGATCTTAAGTCCAGAAGGAAAAGGTGAAGAGAGTAGGCAGGCATAGGAGTATTACCCTAAAGCAGAATGTGTTGCCACCCTGTTTCACTGTGTAGGGGTTAATTTGAGGGTTCATGTGGTGTTGCAGATGTTTGAGATTTTGTAAATGAATTAAAAGTTGTGTTGGGTTCTAAGCTATAAGTTGAAGTTTTTATATAAATGGATGGAAAAAATAAACCAGAACAGGGTATGGCTGTGATAAGTCTATGCTAGAGGCAGTTTTGGGTATGAAATTGTTAACATTTACCTCTGTATCATGTCAGAAAGAAGGGATGTGCAGAAGGGTCCTATGCCTTTGCCAAATCTATTGGCAATTACTCGATGGCAGTCTTGCCCTGTATTTGAATTCTGTTCCTGTATCGTGTTGATTCAGCTGTCAGATGACCCACTGCTGGTTTGTTACCAAAAGTTATTGCATAGCTTGCCAAATGCATGGCTCCTGCTTTGTCTTCATGCAAGATCAAAGCATTGAAGGATTCCATGCCTTGGACTCGCCTCTGCTCCCACAAGGGGTGGTGCATGGAGATGGTATCTCATTCCCTTGGAAATCTTGGTGGTGTCTTATATTTCAGACACTTTTAAAAGTCATCTTTACTATCAAACCGGTATTTGAGTTAGGAGAGGCTCTGCATGTTTTTGGCAAAGAGGAGACATAAGCTAATCTTGGAAATGCCCGTGCTTGATTTCTTCATGAAGTGTTTGGCTTGGGTCTGTCCTAGAGGCCCCCCAGGCAGCTCTCTGACCATATCTTTGTCCTCTAGGTCTAGTGAAGGCAATCAACACTGCCGTTGACCTGATTGTGGCTCACTTTGGAACCAGCAGAGATCCAGGGGTGAAGGTAAATCTGCTTTCTCTATGGCTTCTCAATGTCATGAGTGACGTAGAGGGTGGATAGAGATTGACTTTCCATTCTCTTCCAGCGCAAAAGCTATGGGGCATCAAATCACACTAGTAGCACCAAGAGCAGGACAAACAAAGGTGATGGTACATCATGCAGTAGAGAGTATATCTGTGATGATACTTGCAGCATGATGCTGGAGGTGCTAAAAGTTTACGTGAGTTTAAGAGAACACTGGACCAATACAGGGAAGAGAAATTCAGTAGGTCTGCTAGATACACAGGAACCATGTCCAGCTGACGAGTCCTTGGGCTGAAAGCAGTTGTAGACTAGGGTAGTGTTGAAGTATTGTATTTGTAGCTCTGATTTGGCTTTTTCTTACATACTTGTATGTGACCCTTAATGAGAGGCTACCGGGCCATCTGGACCTCTGGTCTGAGGCAACAGAGCTACTCTTTTTATCTCATACAGCAGAGAATTATGTCTCCCTCCTCAGCCCTCCTGGTGATCCTGTTCAGGCACTAGTACCAGAGCACAGTGCAGTCTCCCCAGTCCCTCAACATACCACAGGTCTCCATGATTATAAAATGTTCTTCTGTCCTTGGTTATTCATGTCCTTCTCTGACACCTTTCCTGGGAAGACTTGTGTTGGTTCTGTGACAGAACCCTTGAGATGCCTTCATTAGACAGGTGCCACAGTAGCTGAGTCTGCCATAGTCTTTGCTCTACCTCTGTATCAGAATTTGTTTTGTTGTGGGGCTGGGGTTGGATGGAGTAACAGTCTGTGCTAGTCATAGGACATCTGGAACAGGTGGGTGTCCTCTGTGGCCCTTGCCACAAAATCTCTAGCTGCAGAGTGCATCTAGACTGCCTCTGAGGCAGGCTGTCCCTGGTTTGTGCTCCCTTTGTCTCTGATTTCCGGAATAACATGAGCAGAACAACCTCGCTTCTGCCTGTACCAGCTATTGTTTCTCAGTCCTGTGACAGTCAGCCTGGCTGTGGTGCCTCCTTTCAAAGTTGAATATTCTGCTTCACTCACGAGGACTTGTGTCACGATGTGACAAGTGCCCTGGAGTGCCATCTTCCAAGGAGAAACTCAACTATGACAGATTCCAAACCCTTCAATCTTATCTCAGAGGCCTCTTAATCACAGTTGTCACTATTGCAGAGATTTTTGTCTAGCAAAACTGGAGCTACTTCGATTTTCTGACTGTGTTTCCACAGCTTCTTACAACTTCACTGTGAATTTCCTACGCTTGCAGTGTTGGTCTGGGGAAGAACTGCAACATTTTCATATTACTTTACTGGCAGACAGTGTTGTACTTACAGCCTCCACGTGTTTTTTATATGAGGTTTCATTATGCCTTGGTGTGCCAGGGCCTGTGCGTTCACCTCTCAAAACGCAACACCCATCCCTGATGTTCTCATACTCAATGAATTTCACAGGATTATTCCTGACCCAGAAGTTCAGCCTCAGTTCAGGGCCTCTGTGGACCTGCGCCAGCCTCACAGTGTAATTCCAGCTCAGCTGGTAAAACCTGTGCTCTCAGCCCAACTAAATGATGTGCAAGGCCTGAGGCTGACCCTTTCCAATTGACCACTCGAGGACTGCATGCAGCAGAATGTGTCCCTGCTCTGCTGATGCTGGGCTCTTAAATGCTTCCTCATCTCAACCCAGACCCTGTCCAGTCATTTTGCCTCCACCCTGTTTATTTATAGTAATCCCTAGGAATTATAGCTTGGCATGTCACTGAGTCAAGTGTTCCTTAACCCCTCAATGCGGGAAGTTCCAGCTGCTGCTTCCTGCTTCTAAAATAGTAGCAAGAAAAGCTTTTACAGCAGCACAAGAAGTGCCTACTCTTTTCTTCCTTCTGCAGAACAGCCTTGCTATATCTTCCTGCTATATATGCTATAGTGAGAACTAAAGACATCCTTTCTAACTAGGATATTCTCTTACCAAGCTGTTAGTTTATCTCAGACTGGAGTAGACACTGCAGGGAACAGTCCAGAAGAGAGCTGTACGTGTGTGAGGCAGCAGAAGTAAAGGGGAAGAATCAGCTTCTTAGTTTCATCGTGGCCTAGATATGGGCTATTGGGTGTCTGTAGTAGGTAAATGGGGCTAGACTGTTGCATATGCCAGTACTCCACAGCACAGTTACCATCATTTCCCTCTTCCATCTTTTTCTTTAGGCTAAGCTGGGGAACAGCTCTGTGAGCCCCAACGTGGGGCATCTCATCCTGAAATATCTGTGCCCCGCTGTCCGGGACATCCTGAGTGATGGACTCAAGGCCTATGTCCTGGATATGATCATTGGCCAGAGGAAGAACATCCCTTGGAGCGTGGTGGAGGCATCCACTCAGCTGGGTATGGAGACGAGGCTATGATCCCCCTTGTTCCTCAGCATTGCTGTACTGTACCTGGGGAGGGGCTGAGGAAACTTGACTGTAGGAGTAGGGGTGCAAAGTGGTCAAAAAAGAGGCACCCCAAATTACAACTACACACACAGCACAATTCTGTGTACTTGCTGATTCTGACCCAAGGGTTGTGGTCCTCTCTGGAGTGAGGGATACGTCCCTGGGATACTTGCATGCGCTGAAATTGTCCCAATGTTTTGAAGTAACATTCTGCGACAGACTGTGATGCATCTCCCTTGAGGAGCCCAGCTATTGGAATAGAGTGAATTTGTCCCACTCATCAGCAGAGGGAAAATGCTTGAGGCAGCAGGGGCACCCAAGCCCTTTCTCCCTTTAACTGAATGATTCTTCCTATGGTTCCATTTTGACTTTGCTGATCAAAACTAATTCCACCATTGTGCTTACGTCCATAGGCCCCTCCACCAAGTTGCTGCACAGCCTCTACAGCAAGATCAGCCAGTACACGGAGCTGACCAACCACACCATGAGGTTCAATGCGTTCGTCTTTGGTCTTCTCAAGTAAGCAGACTCCTATGACTGCATGTCATCCTCCAAGGCAGGCAGCAAGCATTGTACCTCACCCCCACACAAGTGTAGTTGCCAGTATAAATATTTTTTTTAAAATTGGACGTGGTCCCCAACTGTGTATGGAAAAATGAAGAAGCTGTGAGTCTGAGGGAATTCCAGAGGGATCAAAACCTATCCCCACCAGGCCAGGACTGAGAGGGGCTGGCTGCAGACCACTGAAAAACAATCTCAACTTGTTTTAGCCCCAAAGCATTAGATGGGAGATATCTTTCTGTCTGGCTTCACACAGGAGTGGAGATAATGTATGCAATTTAAATTACTCATGAAAATTCCTGTGTTGCTGCTTCCCAGGGTTGCATTGAATCCCAATATGTGAGACTGAAACAGAAATTTCCCTGGTCCAGGGCTGATCCTTTCAGTCTGGAGAGAAGTGGACATACTCAGTGCTAAACAGCAAGTTGACAGTGATGTTCCCTGTATTGGGATGAGTGATGTTAGGATTCTATTTTCTTCCACCACTCCAGTGGTCAGTAGGAGCTGACACTGGCGATGGAGTCCCCAAGATTCCCAATGTTGGGAGACGCCCCCCAAGCCAGTTATGCTCTGCTCACCTTGTGAAGGGTGGCCGGACTCCTCTCTGTAGGCGTTGAATACCAGCATTTTGGGGGCTGAACCTGAAGCAGTGGTTTCATATTTGTTGGTCTTTTGTCTTTTCCATATGAGCCCTGCTCAGCAAAACTAAGTTCTGCCAAGGACAAAGGCACTAAATGATGAGGAAACTTGCTGGAAATGTGTCTATTAGGGCCCCTTTCACAATGCCTCATCTTAGAGTAAAAAGGGAAGGGTCTCCTTGACATGCTAGGTGGCTGTAGTCAGAGCATGCTGATCAGTGTAAGCCACTGTCTTTTCCTAGGTCTTGAGGTTCACAGGGATGTGCTGTGTAAATGCCCTTTTCCAGCCACACTTCCTGTAGAACAGCAAGGATGAAGAGGGTGAGGGGATTTTAACTGCTTCTTACCTGCTTGTTTTTCCTTCCTGCAGCATCCGGTCCTTGGAGTTCTGGTTCAACCACCTCTACAACCATGAAGGTAAGAGCCTGAGTCCTGTGTAGGCTGGAGTGGACATGCTATTCTGCAGGATGTGAGTTCACATCTAAGCTCTAGGGTTCCTTTTTTTCCCTGGTGATCATTCAGCCTATATTGCTCTCTTCTGCTCTGAGCTGAAGAAATAGACTGTGCCCAACCCCAGTGTGCAAGCTGTTGGAGGGCTGTTCAGCTACAGGGAGGGAGGTGGATGTTGTAGCCTCATGCAGGTCCATGCACCTGAGTCTGGTCAGCCATGTCCTTCCCAGTTGTAGCCAGTATCCAGTCAGTACCACCTCCAATGCAGACCTCTCCATCTGCCCTCATGGGATCTGGTACCTGTGTGCAGATCTGACACTTCTTAAATTTCCTTTTTTTTTTTTTGCAAATTTCTGCCCAGCACCTAAGAATCTGGGATGTCTGGAAGTGTTGGTTGGAAAACTTCAACCCTGGGAAATGGAAAGGAACAGATGAACAAAGAACAGATTTTACCAGTTGTGTGGTTTTTTGTTGTTGTTGTTGTCTTTTCTCTAAAAATGTATCTAGAGTGTTTAGACACCCAGCAGCTCTGACCAAGCTGCCTGAATCTAGAAGCAGCATGAGTTAAGTGCTAAGTGCATAGTGAGACAGAGATGCCCTTAACATGCTTGATGCACTGTGAATACTGCAGGCTTGAACTGCAAAAAGCGTCCAGCCTAGTGTCTTCTGGCAGGCTTAGGGGCTGCTCACATTGCCAGCTGAGTGTGTGCAGTCAGCACTTCTCTCTGGAAGAGCCAGGAGAGCAGACATGCCTTTGTACTCAGAAGTGGGGCAAGAGACACCACTCTGGTTTTCTGAAGCAGAGAGGAACCCTTACAGATCCTTTTGTTCAGTCTTTTTTCAAGCCAAAATTAAGAGCTGAAAGAGTGAGCAGTAGCTAAGGGTCTCTGGAGACTGAAGGTTGAGCAGAGGAGTAGAAGACTAGGTGCAAGTCATGTCTGTGGTGTAAGTTTGTTATCACACTGGGGCAAATGACCACAAACCATATGTTCTACTCTGTGGTGGAGAGGTGGTCAATGGTGTGGTGCAGGTATGGCCAAATAAAGGGCAAAATGAATGCTGCAAGTGGAAAGAGGTAATTGATTTTCTATTAGGACCCACAATTCAATCCAGACAGTTCCTGGTACTTTGTCGCTGTTGGGAACTGGTGTTGGTTTGGTTCTGCAGCTCCCCATTCATATATGGGAGGTGTAAGAAGAGAATCTTAACATGTGTCAGGCCTATTTGATGTTTTTTATTCACACCCATGCCCATGGCATTTGTGATAGAGATTCTCCTGGTAGATGATCTGACAGGCAAATCCTGTCAAAGTTCAGGCTGCAAGCAGAATGGGAAGCAGCACCTAGGCCCTTGGTCTGCTCACAGAACATCTGGTGCTGCCTGACTAGTGGTGCAGTGCTGGACCTCATGCTGTGACCAGAAACTGGTGTTCAGACTTCCTCTCCATAGTTTCAGTAGCTTTGTGTTAGCCTGGCAGCGGGCAAAGGTGTTGAGGGCCTCTGATCTGATCACTGTCTCCTGTCCTGCAGATATCATCCTGGCACACTACCAGCCAGTGGGCTTCTTGTGCCTGTCTCACAGTGTGTGCCAGCCCCTTTTTGAAGAGCTTCTGCTACTGCTCCAGCCTCTCTCTCTGCTGCCATTCAACCTAGACCTCCTTTTTGAGCACCACCTGCTGCAGATGGGCAAAGAGCAGCAACAGCAAAAGGAGCTGCTGCGTGTGAAACAGGACCTGCTGCTTTCTGCACACTCCACCCTGCAGCTGATGCGGACACGAGGCAGCAGTGAGGATCCTGACGGCTGCAGCACTGCTCCCGAGGCGTGTAAAGCAGGTGCCACAGATGGGGACCTGTCACCAGGCCACAGCCCTGACCAAGTTGCAAGGGAGAGAGTCAAGGGGGTGGGGGCCTCCTGTGGAAATGGCGACAGGGAGGAAGAGAGGACGGTGGGAGACAGCAAGTTGAAAGCGAGAGAGTCAAGGGGGTGGGAGCCTCCTGCGGAGATGGTGACAGGGAGGAAGAGAGGAGGATGGTGCGAGACAGCACCTGGGAGGGGAAGAAAGACAAGCAGGCAGGCTGGTGGTACCAGCTCATGCAGAGCTCCCAAATTTACATTGAGGGCTCAGCTGAAGGCTCCAAGCTTGTTCGCTATGAAAAGAAGAAGAAGACTTCTGGTGCTGTGCCCAGGTCAGCTGAGCCTCACAAGGCACCACCGCCCCGCGAAGGGGTGGTGGAGGGCGCAGAGGCCTGCCCCATTGTGGAGGGCACCTTGGAGGAGAGGCCCATGGCAGCCAGCAGACCAAGCCCCAAGGCTCTGGTGGAGCCCCCAGAAAAGCCCCAGCAAGCACCAGCCAGTGAAGAGGCCAAGGAACGAAGCTGGCCCTTCTGGATGGGCAGTCCGCCAGATTCGGTGCTTACAGAGCTGAAGCGCAGCAAGGAGAAGGAGGCCGGGACGCAGCAAAGACTGGGGGCAGCAGCAGCAGCCCCTCGGGAGGAGAGCAGCACCAACGCGTCGGGAGCCAGCCAGCCCATCAAGTGGGGACACTTGTTTGGCTCTAGGAAGGTGCAAAAGGAGTCCAAACAGCCCAACAGGTAGGGACGTGAAAGGCTTAGGGCCAGGGAGGGCTAGTTAGCCTGGGATTACTGCGGTGCAGGTGGGAGTCAGGCCACAGCCTTGTCCTTTGCTACAGCAGTACATCAGCCCTGACTTCCTTCATTCCACCTATACCACGGCTCCCTACTGCTCTCACGCTTTGTCTCTCCAATTCTTCCTGACCTTGACCACTGCCTAGATTCCTAAGCCCTTCTCTGGGGAAAGAGGAAAGAGGCCTTTAGTAGGGTTGCTTAATCCCCATTGTCACCTTATCTGTCCCAAAAGCAGACACAGTCCATGAGGAGGAGGTGTGAAGTTGCCCAGTGCAGCTAGGGTGTGTACTCAAGGAATGAATTTACCACGGAGCAGCTGGCCCCGTTCTCTAGGCACAGTTCCCTGCCACTGCCTGTTTCTGTCTCCCTCTCACAGGTTGCCCTCTGGCTGGCTGAGCTTGGACAAGTCTGTGTTCCAGCTGGTGGCCCAGACGGTCGGGGCAAGCATGTGGCGAGAAGCAGCCCCTGAGCCGGATCCCCAACGGATGGAGCCACCAGAAGCGTCAGCTGAGCAGCGGCCAGCTCGTGAGCTGTCTCCCAACCCTCCCTGGTGAGCGGTGCCACGTGGCCAACCCGCAGGGGCCGGGGATGTAGTGGGCTGGGGCTGATGCTGCTTTGCCTATTGAGATATGTCTGGCCCCTTTTGCACTCATGGACCAGGGGCAGTCTAGGACAGTAAAACAGTTTGTACTCCCGTCCACCCCAACTCTGCAGCCAGCAGACCAGGGGGCAGGGGGAAGGCTTTTGTAGGCGCTGTGACAAAGCAGCCCTGGGGAGTCTGGCTGGGGAGGAGGCAGAGGAATGGCTTTGCTTGCTCCTTGGTGACTGCAGAGGCCCTGGGCTGCAGTGGGGTGAGTGCCGTGTGGCGGGCTAACCCTTTCTCTCATCCCTCTGCCTGCAGTGAAGTGAAAGCTCTTTGCCATCACATTGCCACTGAGGCAGGACAGCTGAGCTTCAACAAAGGGGATATCCTGCAGGTCATTTCCAAGGTGGATGGTGACTGGCTGCAGTGCAGCCTCGGCTCCGAGAGGGGACTGGTGCCCATCATGTATGTCACCCACCCAGAGGATGAGGACTATTGATGTGGCTGGGAGGCTGAGCACAGTACCGTGAGCTGCTGAGGGTCCTCTGGGGGAAGCCCACCCTGCCAGAGGAACAGACACAGCTTCTTGCTAGTTTCTTACCCTTCTTGCCATTACAGAATACAGTAACCATAGGTGGTTCCTTCCTGCTCCTCCTCGTGCAGCTGCCAAAGGCTTCGTCAGCCCGCGGGGCCTCCTGCCAGTTGCATCCTGTGTTGCCAGGCATCGCCGTGCATGCAGCCACACCAGGGACCGTCTGAGCCCCCTACACCTCACGCCATCTCCAGCATTTCATAAGCCGTGAACTTGTACATAGCAGGAATTCAAGCAGTCCCTGCCGGAGCAAGCACTGCCCCTCTGCCCAGCTCTGCACCACGCTGAAGGGTGCAGGATGTCGGCTGTGCCCTCCCCATGGATGGCAGGGCAGCCTGCAGCCTTCAGCATTCGTGGCATCATCAGCTACAGAGGCGGGAGCGCTGTGTGTTGGCAAGGTCTCTGCAAGGCTCTCACATGTTGGCGGGTTGTGTTGTGGCTTGCGGGGACCATAAGGTAGGCTCCCCCACTCCAGAACAGCCCTGTCCTAACTGGTAATAATGATGTGTCGTGTATAATACCACAGGGGTTGTGAGAAGGCGTGTGAATGTTCAGTATTGTGTAGGAGATGGGTGGAGATGGGTGTCCCCCATGCCCTCCATGCTGGTCAGGGAGCCAGTGCCTGGATGTCCTGGGATGCTCAGTGGAGAGAGGGGCACTCAGAGGGGAGGGAATGAAGACGAGTCCCTGATGGGGCAAGGGATGCTCTTTGGAGAAGGGGGCAGTGCTCCTGGTAGGCAGAGCAGGATGGGTGCTCCCAGAGGGAGCAAGGGAGAGAGGGCGGGAGGGATGGTGTTCCCCATGGCGTAGGGTCTTGCCCAGCAGTGCTGTGGGTGCGGGGGGGGTGGGCCCATAATCGTGCACAAGCACAGGGGGATATTAATCGTGCACAAGCACAGGGGGATATTGGGGGGCCTGAGGTCATTGGCAGAGCCAATGCCAATCAACCCCTTCCTTGCCGTGTTCATGCTGCCTGCTGGTGGGGAACAGTGTTAGTGAAAGGCCATGCCAGTATTTGGTGCCTTGGCCAGGTGGACACTGCTCATGGTGTCATGCCTGGGCTGGCTTCCTTGTGGCAAGGGACTCTGGGCTTGCAAGGTTACCTCCTGCTTGTACATCGCTTAGCGGACATTGCACCATATTTAATTTGTATTCCCCAGTTAGAACGAGGTGTCTCGCCTTTATTTATTTCTTTATTTATGATGCATATTAATAAAAAAGGTGCTGATTAAGCTCCCAGCTGGTATGCAGCTTCATGATTTCAGCCCGTCCCTGGGGAGGACCCAGGAGGTACCTGTGCTGGGTCACCATGTTGGAGATTTCCTCATGTCTCCAGCCACAGCCAATACCAGCCCTTTAGAGAGACACAGATTGCCCCCAACTATCCTTGGCTTGTTGCAGACCACACAAGAGGGAGGCTTTGGTCCCCAACCACCCAGGATAACAGATCCAGTCCCTGTATCATCCAGGCGAAGTGCAGAACCAGAGATTCTCTCCCCACCCCTACGGTCTATTCAGAGACACCATCAGGATGTGGCTGTCCCCTGCCTGAGTCTCTCCTTTCTCTGCTCCCGTGAGTAAGCCAGTGTGTTTTTGTCTTCTTCCAGCTCCAGCAGTGTTAGCCCAGCAGTGCTGTACAGAGCTGGAGTCCCTGTCAGCTCTCAAGGCAAGAAACTGGCCCTAAGGGGCACCATTCCTGATCTTGCCATAAACCTGTCACCATCTGGTATATTTTGTTCATGCTGAAAATGAATTGCTTTGACTTGTTGGTTCCGGCTGAGCTACGTCACATAATCTCACTGTGGTATCTTTCACTGGGTAGGACTGGGGTGACCCACCCTGGAGAGTGCAGTATCCCCTCAAGAGAGGTTCCTGCTGCAAGACGAAGCATTACTGCATCAGGACAGAGCCCTAGGTAAAGCAAGAAGGGCTGCAAACATCCTTCCGTCTTGCATCACACAGCAGGCACCATTGCTTGGGGTTGCTCATCTTTATTCCTCTTGTATGCTTGCGGGGAGACCAAGCAGGTTTTGGGAGAAGTTCAAACTATGTCCTACCAGGATTATTAGTCTGGCATCTGCTTCTCGAGGGTGCTCAGTCCCAGGGCGTTGTGAGTAAGGTGACCATAAGTATGACCGAACTGGAACTTGTAACCTGTGGCAACGAGGAAATCCTGAGTAGTATTGGGTGGGAGGCAGTGAGGAAAATGGTCTGAGCATGGGCCATGGGGCTGAGAGCCAGACCCTGGGACAACCTGGCTATGAGATCTGCTGGCTATGGGCCACCTCACGCGTAAGGGTTCTGAGGCATTTGAAATTAGACCAGCTACAGCACAGGATGTGGGGATCCTGCAGGAATAACCCCTGAGAGCCCTCTCATCCCTTTCCTGTACACCCAGGTAACTCCAGGGAGAAGAGAAAAAAACAGTAGAAGCTCCAGCTTCATGTATGAGGATACACGCTGGAGTCTGAGACTGCGGTCTGTAGCACTGAAATTCAAAAACCCATGAATACAAAACAAAAAAAAAAAAAAGACACAGCCAGAATCCCAAAAGGGTTGAGGTTGGAAGGGACCTCTAGAGATCATCTAGTCCAACCCCCCTGCTCCAGCTGGGACATCCAGAGCACATGGCACAGGGTGGCATCCAGGCGGGTTTGGAAGATCTCCAAAGAAGGAGACTCCACAACCTCTGTGGGCAGCCTGTTCCAGGCCTCTGTCACCCTCACAGTAAAGAAGTTCTTCCTCACATGGAGATTCAACTTCCTGTGTTTCAACTTACACCCGTTACCCCTCGTCCTGTCACTGATCACCACTGAGAAGAGTTTGGCCCCATCTTCTTTACATTCTTCCTTCAGGTATTTATACATATTCCTATATTTATGAAGCTGCACAACCTTCTGTCTCAACCTAGAGAGGCCCAAAATGGCCACGGCTTGCACATAGGTTGCTTTGACTCTTCAGAAGGCTGCTGTGGACAGACCTGCTGAGAAATGGCACAGAGCCAGACTGCTCTTCCCATCTGTGCAGACAGGCCAAAAAGGGGAAGGGGACTGTGTGCTCCCACATGGGAGCACTGAGTCAGGCGTGCGGCAGGAGAGGTGATGTCCATCAGCCTGCATGCTCGCACCAGACGCACCAAGTGCCAGCTTGCCCACGCTTACAGCACTGGGGTGCTTGCTGCTGAGGCTGCCTCGCGTGTGGTGGGCCGCAGTTGAACGACTAGAGCATGAGGGGCTCGATTTGGGGTTGCAGCCAGAGGGTTTCTGGCCCTTGCAGTCCTTCCATGCCTGAACGCTCGAGCTAGATTTACAGCAGCGTACTGGGGTGGAAACCGTTTTCTCCGGATGGAAGGTGTATGTCTACGCCTGTTTGCTGTTGGACACTCACCTGGGACGTAGCCTGCGTAGCTAGGCAGCAGGCCTGTCTCCACTGGGTAGGTTTTTCCCAGGGGTGGGAGGGTGGTGTTGCCTTCCTTGGTCTCACTCCTGCCACCTTTCTTCAGGGCCATGTGGCTAAACTCCAGCAGGGCCCGGTTCGTGGTAATCGGGTAGCTTTTCCCAATCAGGAACCGGGCACGGGGCACAAAGCCCGTGAAGCCTACACAGGTGACAAGACAAGTCCTGTAACAAGGCCAGCACTGGCTGCAAGCAGCCCTCAGGAGACCTGCTACCCCCAAGCCAGCCAGGGGACACCTGAGGGGCTGTCCTGGACCCTTCCCATGCCCACCCAGCACCCCCTCCAAACACACAATCCTAGGCTATTGCCATAAAGGGGATATGCTGAGCCCATCAGGAAGCACAACATCCCTTTCCCATCCGCCCCGGCAGCCCAGTCCTTGCAGCCTCACCTGACATGAAATATTTCTGGGGGTCGTCATCCTCCATGGAGTAGGGGGAGCGCTGTGGCTGGAAACCATGCAGCCACGCACGGGGCGCAGAGGCTGCCAACGCTGTTGCTGCTGGTGCTGGGTGGCGCTGGCAGCAGCCTGGTCCCGATGGCTCAGCTGAGGGGTCCTGAAGGGAACATAGAGCCGGGATTACCATGGGGCAGGCTCAGCTGGGCAGCGAGCCTCTGGTGCTGCCATGCCCTGGAGCAGGCCCTGATGTGGGGAAGGTGGCTCAGGCGGCACAAGGAGCTCAGCATCTCTCAGCACACCCTCAGCAGGGTCCTGGCTGCAGAAAGGCAGACCTGTGACATGCAGGTGGACGCAGCAGGAGGGGTGGGTGCTGGCAGCTGACAGCTCACATGCCCACCCCTCGCTGTGGCCATGAAGCTCTGTGTGCCCTGGGCGCAGAGCAAGTTGGGGGACAGCCCTGGACCCATGGTGGGATACCCACTCCCTCCAGCCTGGCTCACGTCACGCTCCTGAGCGGGGTCCTGCGGCAACGGCTGCGTCTTCAGCCAGGCCTTCTCCGTGCCAGCAGCTCTCAGCCTTTGCTTAGCAAAGTCACTCCTGGCCTCCTTGTAGTCCCCGGAGAAAGTCTTGGCAAAGAAGTGCTGGCTTCTGGGGATGAATCCTGGGAGCAGAACATCCGGCACACAGAAGCAAAGAAGAGCCCACCTGCATGGTATGGGGCCTGACCAAGGCAGGGACAGGGCTGTGGTAGCCAGAGGTGGGGGAGTAAAGGCATGGGGTGAAAACATGGCTTTGAGGGTGCCATGGTGCATGTGATGCAGCATGTGCCAGAAGAACACATGCCAGCTTGGAGGGGAAGACCTGCAAGTAACCAAGGTCCTGAGGGATCTTCTCTGTGCACCCTCTGGTCTGCCCTGGGAAACCATCTCATGGCTTCTGCTGGCCTTTGCGAGGGCAAGCGTCTGGGATGCTACTACAGGTAGGTGGGTGCCACAGATCATGTCTTGGTGCCACGATGGCCTCCTCATACCTGTATACCCAGGGATGACGATGGAGCTCAGGGGCTGAGCACCTGCCTCCCCGCAGGCTTCCGACTCTCCTGGCAGGTCTGGGGGCTCAGTGCCTCGGCAGGACCAGCGGGTTGGCAGCAGCACCAGCTGGCTGGGACGTGGGACCTCCGGGCTGCTCAGGAGCTGCGAGGTCTGCTGCCCGTAAGTCTTCCCCATGCTGAACTTGTAGTGAGGGCAGTAACCAGTGTAGCTGCCATGACAAAGTGAAGGCAGGCCCAAGGTTGGGAGAGTTGCAGGGGCAGAGCTGAGTCTCAGCACTGTGCCAAGCTCATCCTGCCACTTCATGTGAGCCGCTGTGCTGCAACTGCGAGTGTGTGTGTGCCCTTGGACAGGCAGGGAGAGCTGGGATGGGGATGAACATGGAGAAGTACATAGAGGGAGAGATGGGATCGGGATGCACATTTGGATAGGCAGAGAAAGTAGGATGGAGCTGTACCTTTGTGCAGGAGAAGCAGGGATAGATGGGATGAGGATATACATGAAGCAGGACAGGCAGGGAGAGTTGAGATGCAGATGCACAGGGGCACAGGATCCTCCTAAGCACAGGGGGATATCTGCACCTCACTTCTGTGGATCAACCTCCTCATTTTGGGAGATGCTGGAAGTCACAGGGTGCATCCCCACACAGCTGACCTCTCCCACCTGGAGCTAACAGGCTGTGGGGCATCCACTGCACGTGGGCAGCACAGCACAGCTCTCCCAGGCAGCCACTAGAGACTGTGCGCACCTTTAGCCCCACTTGTCCTCCGTCCTGGCCACAAGGATCTGCCCTGGCTGCTCCTGGGTGCCTGTGTCCTGTTTCACATGGAACTGTTCACACGGAAACGTGCTTGTCCCCCTGCACTAGCACGAGTCTCCGGCCTCCCCTCCAGCCTGAGGGGAGGTAGCTCCGTGGGGCACTGTGGGGGGGCTGGGGGCAGCCCTGGCAGAAGCCGCCCCACCCC